GGCAACATCCACACTGGAGGGGTGGATGTTGGGACAACATCCACACTGGAGGGGGTGGATGTTGGGCCAACATCCACACTGGAGGGTGGATGTTGGGCCAACATCCACACTGGAAGGGTGGATGTTGGGCCAACATCCACACTGGGCCAACATCCACACTGGAGGGGTGGATGTTGGGCCAACATCCACACTGGAGGGGTGGATGTTGGGCCAACATCCACACTGGAGGGGTGGATGTTGTGCCAACATCCACACTGGAGGGGTGGATGTTGGGCCAACATCCACACTGGAGGGGTGGATGTTGGGGCAACCTCCACACTGGAGGGGTGGAAGTTGGGCCAACATCCACACTGGAGGGGTGGATGTTGGGCCAACATAAACACTGGAGGGGTGGATGTTGGGCCAACATCCACACTGGAGGGGTGGATGTTGGGCCAACACCACAAGGGAGGGGTGGATGTTGGGACAACATCCACACTGGAGGGGGGGTGGATGTTGGGCCAACATCCACACTGGAGGGGTGGATGTTGTGGCAACATCCACTGGAGGGGTGGATGTTGGGCCAACATCCACACTGGAGGGGTGGATGTTGGGCCAACATCCACACTGGCGGGGTGGATGTTGGGCCAACATCCACACTGGAGGGGTGGATGTTGGGCATCCACACTGGAGGGGTGGATGTTGGGGCAACATCCACACTGGAGGGGTGGATGTTGGGGCAAAATCCACACTGGAGGGGTGGATGTTGGGCCAACATCCACACTGGAAGGGTGGATGTTGGGCCAACCTCCACACTGGAGGGGTGGAAGTTGGGCCAGCATCCACACTGGAGGGGTGGAAGTTGGGGCAACATCCACACTGGAGGGGTGGATGTTGGGCCAACATCCACACTGGAGGGGTGGATGTTGGGCCAACATCCACACTAGAGGGGTGGATGTTGCGCCAACATCCACTCCGCCGACACTGGAGGGGTGGATGTTGGGCCAACATCCACACTTGGGCCGACATCAACACTGGAGGGGTGGATGTTGGGCCAACATAAGGGGGGTGGATGTGGGGGCAACATCCACACTGGAGGGGTGGATGTTGGGCCAGCATCCACACGGGAGGGGTGCATGTTGGGCCAACATCCACACTGGAGGGTGGATGTTGGGCCAACATCCACACTGGAGGGGTGGATGTTGGGCCAACATCCACACTGGAGGGGTGGATGTTGGGCCAACATCCACACTGGAGGGGTGGATGTTGGGCCAACATCCACACTGGCGGGGTGGATGTTGGGCCAACATCCACACTGGAGGGGTGGATGTTGGGCCAACATCCACACTGGAGGGGTGGATGTTGGGCCAACATCCACACTGGAGGGGTGGATGTTTTGGGCCAACATCCACACTGGGGAGGGGTGATGTTGGGCCAACACCACACTGAGGGGTGGATGTTGGGCCACAACACACTGATGGGTTGGATGTTGGGCAACATCCCCACTGGAGGGGTGGATTTTGTCCACATACACACTGGAGGGGTGGATGTTGGGGCAACATCCACACTGGAGGGGTGGATGTTGGTCCAACATCCACACTGGAGGGGTGGATGTTGGGGCAACATCCACACTGGAGGGGTGGATGTTGGGCCAACATCCACACTGGAGGGGTGGATGCTGGGCCAACATCCACACTGGAGGGGTGGATGTTGGGCCAACATCCACACTTGGGCCGACATCAACACTGGAGGGGTAGATGTTGGGCCAACATCCACACTGGTATCTATATATCTATATATCTATGTATCTATATATCTACATATCTATATATCAATATATCTATGTACGAAGGACCTTTATGTACTATTTGGCGTGTGGCTTGGCTTCTTCAGGCAGAACTTCGGAATTTAAGGAATTTAAAGAATTTAAGGAGGCCGGGCCTTAATTTAATTTTTTTTAAATCCTTAAATTCCTAAAGTAGGGCTAATTTAGTCATTTAAGGAATTTAAAGAATTTAAAGAGGCCTAAATGCGTTAAATTCCTTAAATTCCTAAATTAGCCCTAATTTAGGAATTTAAGGAATTTAAAGAATTTAAAGAGGCCGAAATTCTTAAAATTCCTTAAATTCCTAAATTAGGGCTAATTTAGGAGTTTAAGGAATTTAAAGAATTTAAAGAGGCCGAAATTCTTTAAATTCCTTAAATTCCTAAATTAAATTAAATTGGTTCTGGGCCGTAATGTAAAATTTTATAAATTCCTTAAATTCCTTAAATTCCTTAAATTCCTAAATTAGGGCTAATTTAGGAATTTAAGGAATTTAAAGAATTTAAAGAGGCCTAAATTCTTTAAATTCCTTGAATTCCTAAATTAGGGCTAATTTAGGAATTTAAGGAATTTAAAGAATTTAAGGAGGCCGGGCCTTAATTTAATTTTTTTTAAATCCTTAAATTCCTAAAGTAGGGCTAATTTAGTCATTTAAGGAATTTAAAGAATTTAAAGAGGCCTAAATTCTTTAAATTCCTTGAATTCCTAAATTAGGGCTAATTTAGGAATTTAAGGAATTTAAAGAATTTAAAGAGGCCGAAATTCTTTAAATTCCTTAAATTCCTAAATTAAATTAAATTGGTTCTGGGCCGTAATTTAAAATTTTATAAATTCCTTAAATTCCTTAAATTCCTTAAATTCCTAAATTAGGGCTAATTTAGGAATTTAAGTAATTTAAAGAATTTAAAGAGGCCTAAATTCTTTAAATTCCTTAAATTCCTAAATTAGCCCTAATTTAGGAATTTAAGGAATTTAAGGAATTTAAGGAATTTAAGGAATTTAAGGACTTTAAAAAATTTCAATTTACGGCCCAGAACCAATTTAATTTAATTTAGGAATTTAAGGAATTTAAAGAATTTAAAGAGGCCTAAATTCTTTAAATTCCTTAAGCTCCTAAATTCAATGAAATTGGCTCTGGGCCGTAAATTGAAATTTTTTAAATTCCTTAAATTCCTTAAATTCCTTAAATTCCTTAAATTCCTCAAATTCCTTAAATTCCTTAAATTCCTTAAATTCCTTAAATTCCTTAAATTCCTTAAATAGGGCTAATTTAGGAATTTAAGGAATTTAAAGAATTTAGGCCTCTTGAAATTCTTTAAATTCCTTCAATTCCAAAATTAATCCCTAATTTAGGAATTTAAGGAATTTTAGGAATTTAAGGAATTTATAAAATTTAAAATTAGGGCCCAGAACCAATTTAATTCAATTTAGGAAATTAAGGAATTTAAAGAATTTAAAGAGGCCTAAATTCTTTAAATTCCTTAAATTCCTAAATTAGCCCTAATTTAGGAATTTAAGGAATTTAAGGAATTTAAGGAATTTAAAAATTTTAAATTAGGGCCCAGAACCAATTTAATTTAATTTAGGAATTTAAGGAATTTAAAGAATTTGAAGAGGCCTAAATTGTTTAAATTCCTTAAATTCCTAAATTAGCCCTAATTTAGGAACTTAAGGAATTTAAGGAATTTAAAAAATTTAAATTAGGGCCCAGAACCAATTTAATTTAATTTAGGAATTTAAGGAATTTAAAGAATTTAAAGAGGCCTAAATTCTTTAAATTCCTTAAATTCCTAAATTAGCCCTAATTTAGGAATTTAAGGAATTTAAGGAATTTAAGGAATGTAAAAAATTTTAAATTAGGGCCCAGAACTAATTTAATTTAATTTAGGAATTTAAGGAATTCAAAGAATTCAAAGAGGCCTAAATTCTTTAAATTCCTTAAATTCCTAAATTAGGGCTAATTTAGGAACTTAAGGAATGTAAAAAAAATTTAAATTAGGGCCCGGAACCAATTTAATTTAATTTAGGAGTTTAAGGAATTTAAAGAATTTGCAGAGGCCTAAATTCATTAAATTCCTTAAATTCCTAAATTAGGGCTAAGTTAGGAATTTAAGGAATTTAAGGAGTTTAAGGAATTTAAAAATTTTAAATACTTTAAAACACCCTTTAAAGGTTTAAAAGTTTTAACATTTTTAAGGGTGTAAAATTTTTACAAGTTTTAGAAGCTTTGGTGGTCTAAGGCGTTTTATAAGTTTTAAACGTTTAAAAGTTTAAATATCATCACATAGGAAGATGTAAAGTTTTTCTACTACCTGGGAACCCCACCTACCAACCCAAAGGGTTGATGAGCATGTGTGGATTTGTGACTCATGTTTTACCGACAGCGCCTTTACCGGTTCAAGGAAAAAGAGCGACTTGAAGTTTAGCATGGTAGCGGAGCACACTGTGCATCCGGGACCGAAGCCATGCCTCGTGGCCGTGATGATGGTTTGGGTTGGAACCCTGATGCTGTGGAGCCAATGGAGCTCACAGGACCTACAGAGCCCATGGAACTCACAGAACCCATGGAGCCAATGGAACTCACAGAACCCATGGAGCCGATGGAACCCGCAGAGCCCATGGAAGAAGGGGAACAAGAAGAAGAAATGGAGCCACGAAGAAAGGAGATCAAGATTCACCGTGTTGGCATGGGAAAAGGCTACGGATCTTCAGCAAGCAGTGCAGCTGAAGGAAGTGGAAGTGCACCAAGCTATATGCCTCCAAAGCCGAAGAAGAAGCCCGAACGACCAGTGGTGGAAGGAAGAGATTACATTCCCTTGGAAGGAGGAGAACCAGACGGGCCAGTGGAGATCGGGAGTCCTAGTTCCTCTAGCCCCGAAACTACAATGGTGTACCAAGAGGCACCGCCTACACCAAGAAGGGCGCCGAGAACACTTTCGTCTGGGCACATCGCCTTGGAGCTGCAAGAGCAGCAAGTGTCTGCTGAGCAACGCAGGCGAAGGCAGCTGGAGAGACTCTCTGCACTCGCAGCAGAGACTGAAAGGATCCAACGGCGAGCAAGGGAGCGAGCCTTGCAGGAGCCAGTTCGGTTTCCAAAGTCAGGAGGGCCACCGCCACCACCAGCGGGCCCAGAACCAGAGCAAGCTCCAGAGTGTCCACCGCCAGGACAAGAACGAGCTCCAGAGTGTCCACCTCCGGACCCAATGCCGTGTGGTACGAAACTTCCTCTTCACACGCTGGACGGGGAACCCAGCAACGCAGCAGTGGCGGAACACATCCGCCGGAATGAGGAAGAGTATGCTGCAAGACGTGCCGGTGCAATTCCTTCAGGAGACGAAGCAAGAGCCAGGGAATCCAAGGAATTTGCTCGTGGAGTTGCATACTTTCGGGCCAGGTACGGCCAGCGAAGCCAAAGCAGTGGAACAGCGAGTTCCAGCCGAGACACGGGGCCTGGGACCCTACAACCCAGGACGGGGCCTGGGACCCTACAACCCAGGATGGAAGATGCGAGAGCTGAACCAGGGAGCAGTTCCAGAGGACCACCTCCGAAGGAACGACCTGCTGGAAGCAAGGCGCCACCTCCAGAGCCAAAGGGACCACCACCGAAGCGAGTGGGAGCAACGCAAGCCACTACGCTCTACCCGAATTCTCCTTGGAGGAGAGCAGAAAGGAGAAGAATGCGAACCCTAGAAGTGAGGAAGATGACTGGGGAGATTGGTCAGGACGATGAGGTCGACTACCAGAAGGAGAAAGCAGAGGTCTACTACCAGAAGGAGAAAGCAGAGATCGACTACCAGGAGGAGAAAACAGAGATCGACTACCAGGAGGAATCAAAATTCTATGGCCTATGTACAAACAAGAGCCTCTACTCCGACAAGACTATGAATGGAACAAGAGATCCATTGGTGATGTGGATTTGGACCAGCATTCCAGGAGCAAAGAACCTCTACGACCCCAAGACTATGCAATTCGATTACAATGGAGCAATGGCAATGATGCTTATGCTTGGAGTATCAGGTGCGATCATGTTGTGCATTGGATGTTTGCAAGCGACAGTGCACTTGCAGTCATGTCGTCAGTCATGTTTGTGGAGATTGCAACATTCATGTTTTCGGAGGCGCTTGAGCAGAGGGGCACGGAGAGATCACTTGCGTTCGTGTGCTTGTGTGAGAAAACAACAGAGAGGAGCGATGCTGTGTGTGCTTGTCGTGTTACAGTTTTCTGCAGTGCAAGGGATGCAGCAGAATGGACCACCCCAACAACCCACAGAACTTTCTGAAATTCTGACTGCATTGACAAGGGCGACCCAAGTTGGAATGAGTGCGCTACAAAGGTTGGAGCAACAAGCAAGCAGTTCGGATGATCTGAACCGAAGGATTGAAAGTGCGACAAAGGCGATCAAGGCACCAGATGTTTGGAACCCACAAGCCTCGGGAGAACATCCACCGGATTTTACAACCTGGAAACATCAGTTTCTGAATTGGCTAGGTTTTGCCGATTCGCAGTACTCAGAAGCTCTAAGTATGATTGAAAGTCTGGGAGCAACGCCGATCGATGTTTCGACTCTCACTACAGTGGAGAGAGAACTTTCGACAAAGCTTTACCACATACTGACTTCGTATATGCGGGGGGCAGCAACGCAACTGTCTCGAAATTGGAGCAGGGAGCGATGTGGGTATCGTCTCTATCAAAGTTTGCTTTGGGAATACCAACCAGCCACCAAACAACGAGCTCTAACCCTCAGTCAAGCGATTGGGATGTTTCCCAACTTCGATGGGGGCAAGAGCATGGTGGAGCAGATTGGTTCACTGGAAAACCTTGTTCGGGAGTACGAGATCGCTTCAGGAAAGACCTACGATCGAGATTTGTTGATGGGAGTTTTGCTTCGATGTTCACCGAGGGCGATTCGAGACCACCTTACTTTGACAATGCCCGAAGGAACAAACTACATGTCAGTGAAGCAAGCGATTCTTTCATACGAGCAAAGCAGCAAAACTTGGGATTACCAGACGGTGTTGAAGCAAAAGACCTTGCAGAACACAGCGAGCAGTTCGAATGCAGATCAAGGACCAGCACCAATGGAAGTGGATGCAGTGTACGAGAAAGGAGGAGGAAAAGGAAACAAAGGCAACAAAGGAAACAAAGGAGGAAAAGGATCCTACTCGTGGTCAAGCTTTGGAGCAGGATTTCGCCAATGGAGAAAAGGTGGACGAAAAGGAAGCTACAAAGGAGGAAAGAAAGGACGAGGCAAAGGTTTCCACAAAGGAGGAAAGAAAGGCGGAAAGAAAGGTGGAAAGCATGGCAAAGGAGGAAAGAAAGGTGGAGGAAAGAAGTTGGACAGAGATGTTTGCCGATTCTGCAAGCAGCGAGGACATTGGGGAAACGAGTGTCCAAACCGCAATGTTCGAGAAGTGCAGGCGAGCGAGGCCAGCACCGAGGTACCCCACTCGACAGTCGAGTCTGTTACTCCGTCGCAGAGTGCGAGCCAATACAGGATAAGGAGAGTGAGGAACATTGATTTCCATCACATTGCGAACACACCACCTGACGGCACAGAGCACTATGAGCTTAGCGACGTTTCAGAAGAAGAAGGTGATTGGTTCACCAGAAGGATAGAGGTGCAAGGACCAGAGTGCTACTACATCGGGGATGAGAGTGAGAACAAACAAGATCATGAGAGTGATGAGCTGTATCAATGGTATGAAAACAGCTTGGAAAGAGTTCAAGGAGGATTGGGACCTCCAGGAGGATTGGAACCTCTGAGTCAGGGAGGATCGGAACCTCTCAATGTGCGAATGGTCCAGTTGGACACAAAGCAACATGTGGTGATCTTGGATTCAGGAGCAGATGTGAGTTTGTTACCACGAAGATTGTCGGATGCAGGCGTCGAAGTTTCGACCCCAACCTCTCTGAGGTTGCAGGACGCACAAGGGGGTGCGATGCGAGTTGAAGGTATGCGGCGAGCAGTTTTGCAGTTCAGTAGCTGCAGTGTGACTGAGGACTTTGTGTTGTCGGACACCAATAACATCTTGCTGTCTTTAGGAAGGCTACTCAAAAATGGATGGAAGTTTGTGTCAGTGGGATGCAAACAGCGCCAAGGGGGCGAGACCTGGGGAGAAGAAACCCAGGCGGGGGAACTTGTATCTCCCGATGGTAAGGCACGGGTGCCTGTGGAATACCAGAGGAATAGCTTGAGATTGACAGCGGAAGTTAGAGGAGTCGAGCAAGTCAGGGCAGTCAAGGTGACTTTGGCCTATGACTTTGGTAAAGTCCCAGAGAAGGATTGGAGCCTTCTACCGAATGGAACGCCAGTCCATCGCCATTTTGGACTTGAGTTTGTAAAGCCACCGACAGGTACTTGGAAGTACAGGACCACCATCGTGAAGGTGGGCAACGAATGGGAAGTGATTGAAGCAACGGAATTGCTCGAGCGAAAATCCGACTTGGAAGATCGAATACCGGGATTGCTTTTTCGATCAGAAATTCTCACATTCTTGCACAGGACACCAGAGTATCTGGACAAGTGCTTGGTAGAAGAGGTAGCGCCAGAAGAAGCACCAAAGGAGGAAGAAAAGAAGATGGAAGAGGAGCCAGAATGGTTTGGAAGAGAAAGAGGAGCTCCAGAAGAGTTGCAGGTGCCAGTGCCGAAAGGAGTTGTGAAGCAGCAAGGAAAGGCAGGAGGACACCAAGAGTTGGAACTCGACATGGGAAGTACTATTGTGGTGAATGGAGAGTCACTCACAGCAACGAGTGAGATTGAGAAGCTGCGAGAAGGTTGTCGGTATTTGGGTTTGAGCGTCTCAGGGTCAAAGGTGAAGATGTTCAGGAGACTGTGCAACTACCTCACCGAAGACAGAGATGAGGACGCAGAAGAAGTTGCAGACAGGCTGAGGAAGCAAAGGCCCAAAGCAAGAACAAGACCCGGAGTGCCCGAACCGACAGAAGCAGAGATTGAAGAGCATATGGCAACCCACATGCCAATGCAACCATGGTGTGATTTCTGTGCAGCAGCAAAGTCGAAACAGGACCATACCCCACAAAGCAGTGAAGCAAAGTATGAAGACCCAGGAAAACCAGTGATCCAGATGGACTTCATGTACATGGGTCAGAGCAGTGTGAGTCTGATCATTCTTGATTCATGGACTCGATTTTCGTGGGCGATTCCAGTGCCGGGGAAAGCACCGACGAAGAAGTTGGCCGAGAAAGTGGTGAAGTTTTCTCTCGAGATGAACTACATTTCCGAAGAAGTTCTGTTTGCGATTGATGTGGAGCCAGCGACAACAGCCTTACTGGATTTGATTGTAGCAATACGACAAAAGTTAGGCTACAAGGCTGGAAAGTATCCAAACAAGCCCTACCACAAAGGAAGAACAGCGAGAGTGGAACGCCACATTCAGAACCTCAGGAGACAAAGCCTCACGATGATTGAAATGGTCGAGGATCGGATTGGGGAAAAGATTCCTGAAGATCATGCTTTACGAGCGTGGGCAATTCACCACGCAGCATGGTTGTTCAACAGGTACCACCTACACTCAGGGACGCAGAGTACAGCTTTCCAATTGGTCTACGGGAGACCATACCAAGGGCAGATTTTACCCTTCGGAGAGTATGTGTTTGGTCTGGCCAAGCCTGGAGGAGTGAAGAATCGATCCTTGTGGACAGGAGGAATATGGGTTGGAAAGGACGACCGGGACATGGACGTGATTACGTCAAAAGATGGGATCTTTACGTCAAGATCTGTGCGGCGCACACAACCAGCGTGGCGCGCACGTGAGACCCTTCAACTTCAGGGTTCTCCGTGGACGAAGAAAGCCCCAAAGTTAGGGCACACCGCGCATGCGGCACCGTTACCGAGAATCGTGGAAGAACCAGGCAAAGAGAAAGAAGGAGGAGAAAATGAGCCAGAGCCAGCAGGAGATGAAGCAGGATCTGATGTGGAAAGTTCAAAGCATGACACAATCAGTGATCTATTGCTGAGCAGTGGTCAACCTACACCTCGAAGTTCATCAACGGATTCCAACCAAGGCGGGGGACAAAAGAGAGAAACTGAAGGAGAAGAAAGAGAGGAACCTGCGAAAGCTAGTAAAACAGCAGATGCTGAGGAGCCACCAACGAAGCAACAAAAGACTGCGGAAAGTTCACCTACAAGTGCTGATCCTGGAAGTCCGAAAGGAAGTCTATTTCCACCGTTGTACGCCGGACAGGTAGAAGAACAGGAAGACGAAACAGGATATCATGAAGATGACCTTTGGGAAGAAAGAGTCTGGAAGGAATGCGCAGAGGAATATGAAGCGGATAGTGAAGGAGAAGAAGAAGATGAGGATCGACCACCGAAAGTCAGCGAAGAGGAACTTGAAAGATTGGATGCAGAGGCAGGAAAAGCTGAACTTGACAAACTCGCCAACATGAAGGTTGTGAAGACGATCAAGAAGGAAGAGTGTTCAGAGGAAGGTAAGTTTCTGACACTAAGGACAGTTTTCGATTGGAGAAAGAGAGATGGAGTTTGGAAGCGTAGATGCAGAATTGTGTGTCGGGAATTCCGTGCGGGAGCCCAGAGCACGGAGGAGACTTTTAGTCCTACGTCAGGACACGCAGCAGTGCGAATGATGTTTCTTTTTCATCTCATCTACAATTGGGAGCTTACAGTTCTTGACATTCGTGACGCATTCTTGCAAGTCACGCAGAAAGCTCTGATGTATGCTGATATCTCACCGTGGATTCGAACACTACTTGGTTTGGATGAAGACCACGTATGGAAAGTGGAGAAGTGTCTGCCAGGGCAAAGATCAGCGGCAGAACAATGGTTTACCCATTTGGTTGAGATTTTGAAGCGTTTGGGATTTGAGCAATTTGTTGGGATACCCTCAATCTTGAAGCACCGAGTGAAGAAGATTGCAGTGTCGATTCATGTCGACGACGAGCTAGTTGCAGGTGCAAAAGGCGAAGGAAGATGGCTGATATGCGAGCTAGAGAAGTTTTTCAAGCTCACAGTTGAGGGACCGTTCCCATCCCACCGGGGATCGGGAGAACAGCTTCATTACCTGAAGAGGACCTATGAGTTCCTTGAAGAAGGAATTTTGGTGACAGTGTCGAAGAAGCACTACGAGAAGCTTAGAGGACTCTAC